TTAGTCCATTCTCACACTGCTATAAATAACTACCTAAAACTGGGTAATTTATCAAGAAAAGCGGTTTGGCTGGGCGTGGTGGCTCACACCTGTAATCCCAGCACTTTGGGAGGCTGAGGTGGGTGGATCACAAGGTCAGGAATTTGAGACAAGCCTGACCAACATGGTGAAATCCTGTGTCTACAAAAAATACAAAAATTAGCTGGGCGTGGTGGCATGTGCCTGTAAACCCAGCTACTCAGGAGGCTGAAGCAGGAGAATTGCTTGAACCTGGGAGGCGGAGGTTGCAGTGAGCCAAGATTGGGCCACTGCACTCCAGCCTGGGCGACAGAGCAAGACTCCGCCTCAAAAAAAAAAAAAGGTTTAATTGACTCACATTTCTGCAGGCTATACAGGAAGCATGACTAGGAGGCCTCAGGAAACTTACAATCATGGCAGAAGGTGAAGGGGAAGGAAGCACCTCCTTCACGTGGTGGCAGGAGAGAGAGAGAGCAAAGCGGGAAGTGCAACACACTTTTAAACCATCAGATCTCGTGAGAACTCACTCACTGTTACAAGAACAGCAAGGGGGAAATCCACTCCCATGATTCAATCACCTCCCACCAGGCCCCTCCTCCAACACATGGGGATTACAATTCCACATGAGATTTGGGGGAGGACACAGAGCCAAACTGTATCAATATCCCTGTGGTTAAGTGATGCACGACTATAGTTATACTAAAAAAATTGTTTGCTGTTTATCTGAAATTCTAATTTAACTGGGTCTCCTATCCTTTATTTGGCAACCTTACTGTGGAAATAAATGAAGACCACCCAAATGAGAACAAACAGAGGCTATTTATTCAGAGCTTGCTACAGAAAGAAAGTCAGCCACCATCATTTGTGGTTGGCAGAGATTCAAAGGCAGGCAGGGGAGTGGGAAAGAGCTTCAGGTGTGCCCTGGTTGGAGGTTATTGTTGGGCTAACTAAGAGTTGGACATGTTATATGATTGGTCTGGGGAGCAGATTTGGCTTTCTCCAGTCAGATGTAAGTTGGAAGCTGGGGCCAAAAAATAGGGCAGTTGTTGATGAAGATCTGACTGTTCTGGGCCAGCTGCTGCAGAGATTGTGGTCTGAATTTCCAAGATAGCTGTTGCAGAGGTGGTAGTTTAACCTGCTATAAAGGTGAAAGCACAGGTGATGGTTGGGCAAAGGACCTGAATAGACATTTCTCCAAAGAAGATATACAAATGGTCAGCAAGCACAGGAAAAGATGCTTGACATTGTTCGTTATTGGGTAAATGCAAATCAAAATCACAACGTGATACTACTTCAAACCCACTAGGATGGCTATAATAAAAAAGATGGAAAATAACAAGTGTTGCTGAGGAGGAAGAGAAAGAAGAACCTTCACACATTGCTTGTGGGAATGTAAAACGGGGAAGCTACTGTAGGAAATAGTTTGGCACTTTAAGTTAAACATAGAATTACTCTATGATCCAGCAATTCCACTCCTAGCTGTATACCCAAGAGAAATGAAAACATATGTCTACAGAAAAACTTGCACACAAATATACACAGCAACATTATATACAGTGACCAAAAAAGTAGAAAGATGCTAAATGTCCATCAGCTGATGAATTGGCAAACAAAATGTGGTACATCAATATAATAGAATATTATTCAGCAATAATAAACAATGAAATACTAATACATGGTACAATGTGGTTGAACCTTGAAAACATTATACAAAGTGAAAGAAGCCAGACACAAAAGGCTACATATTGTATAATTCCCTTTATGTGAAATGTCCAGAATAGGAAAATCCATAAAGACAGAAAATAGAGTTTCTTTTAGGGGTGAGGAAAATGTTCTGGAATTAGTACTAACGGTTGCACAACTTTTGTGAATATACTAAGAAGTACTGAATGGTATACTTAAAAAAAATACTGATTTTCTTTAGGGGTACATTTTCTAGTCACCACTTTTAATAAGTAAGGTATGTCTTCTAACTTTTGCAGTCCTCCTAAATGTACACTCCCGGGCAGCTGTACATAATGGACCTGCTTTTGGTCTCTTGTTATTGTCTTATGTTCTACAGACACAGCTTCAGTGTCTTCTATCTCAGTCTGTTTGTTATGACTGGCAAATGCTGATAGAGACCCACATAGAGGACTTTAAAGGTTATCCAGGCCACTTTATAAAATAGACTAGTTCAGGTGATATAGTAAGGACTACAAAACACGCTAAGGGTTTAGGAAGATTTTAAAATAGTTATAGTTTTTTTCTCCCTTTCCTTCTGCATTTATTCTCTCTATAGACTTAGAAAAGATGATTGTCATGGCCTCTGATTAGTTTTAATCATCTGGGGAAACCCTGAAAGGCCTTAAATTGCAGCTCTAATGTCCCTTTAGCTGTCTCTGCTTCAACATCTACAACTATTTTGCTTATATTTGATTTACCTCAAGCAGGATCTTCCAAATGTGTCTGATCAACCCATCTCCAACAAGCTGGTTGACTTTAAGATGGTAAAAGCTTTATATCTTACCTTTCTCACTGCTCTGAACACTTTGTCAAAGGCCTATTGGTATTATATGTTCTAAACTAGCCATCCTCAACACCAGATACAAATTTAAATAACCCGAGAAATACTTTTTAAATGCTCATAAATAAATGACTAAGCCCCAGACCCAGCTTAATTGTCCTGGGGTGGAGCCTGATAATCGATATCTTTGTGTGTTTGTTTTGTTTTGTTTTGTTTTGTTTTGTTTTGTTTTTTCTGGAGACAGAGTCTCACTCTGTCACCAAGGCTACAGTGCAATGGCACAATCTCGGCTCACTGCAACCTCTGCCTCCCAGGTTCAAGCAATTCTCCTGCCTCAGCCTCCTGAGTAGCTGGGACTATAGGCACTTGCCATCATGTCCAGCTAATTTTTGGTTTTTCTTTTGTTTGTTTGTTTATTTTTGAGATGGAGTCTTGCTCTGTTGCCCAGGCTGGAGTGCACTGGCGTGATCTCGGCTCACTGCAAGCTCCACCTCCTGCGTTCATGCCATTCTCCTGCCTCATCCTCCCAAGTAGCTGGGACTACAGGTGCCTGCCACCATGCCTGGCTAATTTTTCGTATTTTTAGTAGAGATGGGATTTCACCGTGTTAGCCAGGATTGTCTCGATCTCCTGACCTTGTGATCCACCCACCACAGCTTCCCAAAGTGCTGGGATTACAGGCATGAGCCACCATGCCTGGCTTAATTTTTGACTTTTTGTAGAGATGGGGTTTCACCATGTTGGCCAGGCTGGCCTTGAACTCCTGACCTCAGATGATCTGCCTGCCTCGGCCACCCAAAGTGCAGGGATAACAAGTGTGAGCCACTGTGCCCAGCCAAAAATCAGTATTTTTTAAATGTTCTACTAGGCAATTCCAATGGGCAACTAGGGTTGATGAAAACTGCACCAAAAACACAGCTATTAGAATGATCAAAATCCAGATCACTGACAACAACAAATGCTGGGGAGGATGTGGCGCAACAGGAACTCTCATTCATTGCTGGTGGGAATGTAAAATGGTAAAGCCAATTTGAAAGGCAGTTTGGCAGTATTTCTTACAAAACTAAACAAACTCTTACTATTAAGTCCAGTAGTTATATTTCTTGGTATCCACCCAAAGGAGCTGAAAACTTGTGTCTGGACATGGATGTTTATAGCTTTTTTAAAACAGCATCTTTAAAGGCTTTCCAGATAATCTTAACATCTCTGGTGTCAGTTGTTTGTCTTTCTCCATTTGAGATTCCATAACTTCCTTTTTTTTATTTATTTATTTTTGAGCTGGAGTCTCACTCTGTCACCTAGGCTGGAGTGCAGGGGCTCGATCTTGGCTCACTGCAACCTCTGCCTCCCGGGTTCAAGCAATTCTATGCCTCAGCCTCCCGAGTAGCTGGGATTACAGGTGACCACCACCATACTCAGCTAATTTTTGTATTTTTAGTAGACACAGGATTTCACCATCTTGGCCAGGCTGGTCTTGAACTCCTGACCTCGTGATCTACCCACCTCAGCCTCCCAAAATGCTGGGATTACAGGTATGAGCCACTGAGCCTGGCCGAGATGCCTAACTTTCATGGTTCTTGGTTATTCTGAGTAATTTTGAATTACACGCTAGACATTTTGAATATCAGGTTTGAGACACTTGAACAATTTCTTTTTGCTTTGTTTTAGACACAGGGTCTCACTCTGTTGCCCAGGCTCGAGTGCAGTGTGTGATCATAGCTCACTGCAGCCTTGAACTCCTGGGCTCAAGGGATCCTCCTGCCTCAGCCTTCACAGTAGCTAGGACTACAGGCATGTGTCATCACGCTCAGCTAGTTTTAATTTTTTTTTTATAGAGACAAGGTCTCACTGTGTTGCCCAGGTTGGAAACTCCTAGCCTCAAGCCATCTATCTTCTTACTTCAGCACGCAAAAGTGCAAACCGCGCCCAGCCTACACATTTGTAAAATAGCATCTTTAAAGGCTTTCCCACATAATCCCAACATCTCTATCTTAGCAGTCGTGTCGGTTGATTGTCTTTCCCCATTTCAGTGGCCCTATTTTCCTGGTTCTTCATATTCTGAGTAATTTTGAATTATATGCTAGACATTTTTAATATCTGGTTATGAGACTCTTAGTCTTGTATAATGCTATGGGGTATGTTGCTATTTCTGTTTTAGCAGGTGGTCTACCTCGCTTCACAGGCAGCCACCATGGTCCTTGTTCCTATGGTGGGGCCAGAGCAAGAGAGGGCCCTGGACGGGAGGGTGGCTCAGTTGAAGGTGGAATGAGTTTTGAGGGGAGCACTATTTGAGGTATTTGAGTACCCGAGGCATATGAAACTGCCGAGGGAGGTCGGATTCCATTATCTCCATGGGAATGAAAATCGGGAGTGTGGGGTGTGCTGCTGGGAACTGCAGCCCCCCTCCTCCCCCCTACCGCGGTAGCTGCGCATGCTCCTTGGGTGCCGGCCTCAGTGAGCATGTTCACTGGGTGTCTTCCCGTCGGCCACTTCGCCCACGTGGAGAACGCCAGGGAGCTGTGAGGGTGTGCAGTCACGTTCCTGCTATCTGGACACTTTTTCCTCTACTGAGACTCAGCTGGTAGATCCACAGGCCAGTCCTCCTGGGGGCTGAAGTGTGAGTGAGGGTGAGGAGGAGCCAGTGGGCTTAGGGCAGGTTCGGTGGGTCCTTGGTGTAGTGATCTGTGGCTTTTGAGGGAGAAGGGCCTCAGTGGCCTCCGAAAGAGAAGGGCCTCGAGCTCGTCCTCCTTCTCCTCACAGGCTGCGACACCACCATTGACTTTGTGGTCATGAAGGGGCCAGGACAGGGAGGAAGGTGGGCCGTGAAGGGGAGGCGGTCAGGGGCTCAGGTGAAAATGGGGCGAGTGTTGCGGGTGCTGTTGGAGGGGTCAGAGTCCCGAGGTGATAGGAATCCATGACACAGGGCACATTCCTGAATCCTGAATAGGGCCCTGGGGCGGGAGGTGGGTGGTGAAGATGGCGGTAAAGAAGGGGCCTGGAACCTGGCAAGGCTGCGGGCTGGTGAGTGCCCCCCAGTGGTGTGGAGTGGGGAGTGCCTGAGTGAGAAGCACCCGAGTGAGAGGCGTGGCGAGGTCTCACCTCTGCCATGGAAGGTCCGGAAACAATGGGAAGGACTGGGAGAGGCTGTGCCGTCCAACCAAACTTGATTTGAGGGGAGTGAATGGCTCTAGTAAGTGGGAGTGTGCCAAAAGCAGCAGTCACGGGAATTGTGATTCACTAGTGTTTTCATGTGGAGTCCGCTTGTGAAACTAAACCTCATCAGAAATGCCCTCTGTCAGGGGGGTGTAGTGGTGCGTGCCTGTAGTCCCAGCTACTCCAGACGAGGCAGGAGGATCGCTTGAGCGGGAGGTCGAGGCTGCAGTGAAGTGTGATGACGCCACTGCATTCCAGCGTGAGCAATAGAGCGAGATCCTGTGTCTAAAAGAAATTTTAAAATAATGTCCTCTGCCTTTTCCACACGCCTTAAGATGACTGCACTGCCAGCTTGGGGAGCATAAGTGGCTTTGCAAGCACTCAGAAAACGTACACACTTACACTTAACTCTGGGACTTATTTTGAGAGTATTTTCAAAATTAAAATGACAAGTTAATATTTAGCCATGGAAGTGATCGAATATAGCTGTCCTCTCAAGTGCATGTTCCCAGTCACGGTTTTCTCTTTTCAGTGTGAAATATGGGTTTTCGAAGAAAATTAATCTATCGGCGTAGACCAAGAATGTTTGTAGAATCTTCTGAGGTAATTGGGCCTATGCTGTTGAGCGCTTTAACGTTAATTCGATGTTTTCTATTAGCAGAAATTAATTTTTGTGATAGTGTTGTTGCATTAGTATAGATACACTAGTAAAGGTAGTTCATGCTGATCAAAAATGATTCTGGCATCTCGTGAAGGAAATATTGATTCAGGAGGATTTTTTTCTCTCGTGTTCTCCAACTTTTGGCCATGACTTCCTTCTCATGCTTTGCTTGTTAATGACACATAGATTATACACATCTATTCCAACATAGAGTATAATCGCTTCCAAAGTCCTTGTGGGTAACTTTTCTCGCAGTAACCTTTCTGTGGGTAGAGTAGCCTTATTAACCATATAGAATAAAGTTGGAGAAATGTCTTTAGGTTTAGTTATGATCAGAAACATCTATGCATTTTCTGTGTGTATATGTGTATATATTTTTTGACATGTATTAATAAAACTTTTTGTATTTGCACACTCACACACGTATGCCCTACCACGAGCAGTCCAGTGATGAGCAACCTGAAGAAGTGGAATCACCAACTCAAAGTCAGGATTCTACTCAAGAGGAAGAGGATGAGGGAGCATCTGAAGCTCAAGGTGAAGGGAAAGGGAAGAAGAATGCCTGTTGGGGTGTGTGTGTGTGTGTGTGTGTGTGTGTGTGTGTCTCATGCATTGTCACATACCAGGAACAGAAGGAATGAAAACGATGCAAAAGATGCCTAGAAATTGACTGGAAAAGTGAAGAGGGTATAGTTTGCAGCTTACCTTAGGGAAATAAATCCCTCACTATGATAAAATTTCTCCACTTTATGAATGAGAGAACAAAGGCTCGGGGATTGTGTTTTGTCCAAGAACACTTGACTGGTGAATACAAAATTTGTGTTTTGTTCCAAAGTTTGTGTCTTCCTACCATCTATGTTGCTGTAACAATAGTAAATGATTTTGCTGAAAGTGCTTAAAACTCAAATGCTTTACTGTAAGGTAGCTTAGTACTGGCCCAGGAATAGACCCAGTTCAGAGGAGCAGGAGCAACTCCAAAAACTGAGTTGCTCATTGCTGGCCACCATTTCCTTTGATATTTTTATGTGGTAAGTTTGATGAAAGCTGGAGAATTCAGGATACTGCCATACAGGTAGCTGGTGTAGTATGATTTTTTAAGTGGCTTTTAGGAAGTGATTAAATCCTTTTATGGTTAGAAAAACCAAAAAAAAAAGGAATTATCCTGAGATTAACATGAGATGGAAATAACTTCTCCGAGATAAAATATTTTGAAGCAAAACAATTAAGAAACTCAGGTCATGGATTATTCTAAGGATTTACTGTTAAAAGTTTCTAGAATACGACTGATAACAATGCCCATTAATTGCTGTCCACCCACTCCCTTATTCTCAGTGCGGGACAGTATATTTTGTGTGATTCACAAACAATGTTATATTTGGTGCTTTGTTCTTCACGGGGTTCATTTATGGAATATTACATTTGGGACCTTCGGACCTAAATATAACTTTGTTTGAACAAAGTTAAGTTTCTGTTTACCCCAGTAGGTAATGGGTGTCGAGACTGTAAGATTTTCCATAGTCCTCAAATCCATTCAGCTAATCAATCCTTCAGAAATTGACATTGTAATTGTAACTGAAATCCTATCCATGTTGTAGACTTCAGATTTCTTAGCTGATGCACACTGCCCTTGGTACTCTGTGGCTGAATATAAGCATTAAACATGTCCTGTGGTTTATCCTCAGATTGTCATTTAGTAGAAAGGTCTCAAACTGGGCTTAGGGCCGTGCAGTCATAGTCTCAGCTACTTGGGAGGCTGAGGTGAGAGAATCGCTTGAGTCTAGGGTTCAAGACCAGCCTGGGAGACATAGTGAGACCTCATCGCAAATAAATAAATTAATTAATTAATTAATGTTTCGTTATATAGGAAAACAAACGTGTAAAGTTTGTTCTTAGTTGCTGGTAATGTTGCAAACATAACTCCTTACTGAACTATAACACTTAAAATTAGTTACCATGGTAAATTTTATGTTATGTGTATTTTTTACCACAATTTAAAAAAAAAAAAACTTCTGTCTTCCTAAAGTTCAGTGTAGTTGTCATATATTCTTACAAGTTTTTACTTTACATATTTTCAAGACATAACATTTGTAGAAAATTTGCAAGAATAGTACAATTAACTCATATACTTTTCACCTAGATTCACCAGTTGTTAATAGCTTTTGCTCCATTGGTTTCATATCTCTTCCCTCCCTCTCTTACCCTGCTGCCCACGTACTCACATACACACTTATGAATATTATGTTTACTCTTACTAATGCTCCATTGTTCAGATAAAGTTTCAGGTATTACGGCCCTTTACCCTAAGTACTTGAGAGTGTTTATATATCCTCAGAACAAAGAAAAAGTCATTTCTTGGATAATCACTGCACAATGATCAAACTCAGGCAATTTAACAATGAGAACCTGCAGTTATTTAATATACAGGGTATACGCAGATTTTGCCAGTTATCCAGATAATTTTCTTTTTTCTTTCTTTTTTTTTTTTTTTTTCAGACAGTCTCACTCTGTTGCCCAGGTTGGAGTGCAGTGGCAAGATCTAGGCTCTCTCTAACCTCTGCCTCCCAGGCTCAAGAGATTCTCATGCCTTAGCCTCCTGAGTAGTTGGGACTACAGGCAAGGGCCACTGCGCCTGCCTAATTTTTTTTTTCTTTTGTATTTTTAGCAGAGCCTGGGTTTCACCATGTTGGCCAGGCTGGTCTCTAACTCCTGACCTCAGATGATCCGCCCACCTCAGTCTCCCAAAGTGCTGGGATTACAGGTGTAAGCCACCACGCCCCGCTGGCTGATACTGACATTTTTCAAGAGGATAGACCAGTTGGTTTGCAGAATGTTTAGCACTTTGGGCTTTTTCGTGTAGTTTCTAAAGAGTGCTTTTTCACACACCATTTATTGGTGGCTACTCATGCCATATGCTAGGAGTCTAAATGCTAATGAGAGACAGGATGTCAGCCTTGAATCATTTAATATGATAAGGACAATCAGAAATACAATAACAGAGAAGTGCAAAGGAGGCAACAAAGTTGTCTGAGGGCAGTCTTCGGAAAGGAAGAGGGTAATATTTGGAAAACCCTGTTTTCTGCCAACAGACTCCTGAAATAATGTTCTTGGGATTTTTATCAACACGTTTATTATTACAGTAGCTAAAGCTTTTATTTAGTAAGACCAAGAGCATGAATATTATTTTCTTATTCATATTTCATGTGTTGCTGCTTAAAATGATAATTTTGTTTTATCTTCAAGGGCAGGAGCCTGAAGCTGATAGCCAGGAACCGGTGCTGCCGAAGACCGGCTATGAGCTTGGAGATGGTCCTGATGCCAAGAAGGTGTGCCTGCGAAACCCAGAGCAGATGAAACTGCCCGCAGAAGGTAGGTAGTGCATTAAGCATGCAAATTGTAGGGTGTCTGTTTCCACAGTATTATAGTTTTCTTTTTTTTTTTCTGAGATGGAGTCTCACTCTGTCACCCAGGCTGGAGTACAGTGGCCCGATCTTGGCTCACTACAACATCCATCTCCTGGGTTCAAGTGACTCTCCTTCCTCAGCCTCCCGAGCAGCTAGGATTACAGGCATGTGCCACCTCAGGCAGCTAATTTTTGTAATTTTAGTAGAGACGGGGTTTTGTCATGTTGCACAGGCTGATGTCAAACTCCTGACCTCAGGTGATCCACCCAGCTTAGCCTCCCAAAGTCCTGAGATTACAGCCCTGCCACAGCACCTGACAAATAAATGTTTCTCTTTTTTTTGTATTTTTAGTAGAGACGGGGTTTGACCACATTGGCCAGGCTGGTCTTGAACTCCTGACTCAAGTGATCTGCCCGCCTTGGCATCCCAAAATGTTGGCATTAAAGGTATGAGCCACCATACCCGGCCCAGATAATTTCCTTTATAGAATTTCTTTTTCTGATCCAGAGTCCAGTTCAGGATCACGTCTTGCATGTGCTTGTCATGCGTTTTTAGTTTCCTTTAATCTGAAATGTTTCCTTAATTTTGCTTTGTCATTCAGGATACTGACATTTTGGAGAGGATAGACAAGTCGGTATGCAGAATGTTCAGGATTTGGGGATTTTTCATGTATTCTTTAAAGACCTTTTTTCACTCGGTGTTTATTGGTGTCTACTCATGCCATGTAGGAGTCTAAGTGCCAGGAGTGTAAGTGCTATGAGAAACAGGGTTTCACCCTTGAGTCATTTAATATGATAAGGACAATCAGAAGTGGAGTAACAGAGAAGTACAAAGGAGGCAACAAAGTTGTCTGAGGGCAGTCTTAGGAAAGGAAGAGGGTAATATTTGGAAAACCCTGTTTTCCTCTTTTCTGCCAACAGACTCCTGAAATAATATTCTTGGGATTCTTATCAACACATTTATTATTACACTAGTGTAAGCTTTTATTTAATAAAACTGAGAGCATGAATATTATTTCCTTATTCATATTTCATGTTTTACTGCTTAAATTGATATACATATACATGTACATATATACATGTATATATATATGTATTTCTTTTTTTAAGGGCCAGAGCCTGAAGCAGATAGCCAGGAACAGGTTGACCCAAAGACTGGGTGTGAGCGTGGAGATGGTCCTGATGTCCAGGAGTTGGGCCTGCCAAATCCAGAGGAGGTGAAAACACCTGAAGAAGGTAGTCAATCCATTAGGCATGCAAATTGTAAGGTGTCTGTTTCCGCAGTATCATATTATAATTATTATTATTTTTTTGAGACAGTCTCGCTCTGTCAACCAGGCTGGAGTGCATTAGTGCCATCTTGGCTCACTGGAACTTCTGCCTCCTAGGTTCAAGTGATTCTCCTCCCTCAGCCTCCCAAGTAGCTGGGATTACAGGCGTGCTCCACCGTGCCCAGCGAATTTTTGTATTTTTAGTAGAGACGAGGTTTTGCCATTTTGCATAAGCTGATCTCAAACTCCTGATCTCAGGTATTCCACCCGCCTCAGCCTCCTGAAGTGCCAGGATTACAGGCATGAGCCACTGCGCCTGGCCCAGTATTATGTTTTTAATAACACAGAGGTGACAATACTGCCTCTTTAATAATAGAGTTCTTATATAAAGTTTATTTGAAACGTAGTTCAGGTTCCAGCACCCAACTTATAGACTGTCAGATACAGAAACAAACTGAGTCAAAGCCATATTGAATTATAACTTTTGAGTATAAATCCTTAAACCAATAGCTCATGATATTCAGATGCTTTTGTAAAGATCTGCTTTTAACAAATACATAACACATTTGTAACACCCATCACTTGGTGTGAAATATGCTGAAGCACTGATGCGGGTTCTAATACCAGCTCTTACAGCATTGGTGATATTCTGAGCAAATCCCTTACCTTCTAAACCTGTCTTTGGTTTTATGAAAATAGTGAGTTTAAGTCAGATATTTTAAAATCCTTTTCCATTCTGGTTCTTTCACACTCTGATCCTGTTGCATAGAATGCATGGGATACAGAGATCATCTGTTTTGCATGATTTGTGTATCATAAATCATCAAATCCTGGCCTGAGTCCTCTGAAAACCTCTGAATTGAGATTTCATTGCTACTAAGAAAGTGAGCGGGCACTCTGCTTCATGTTAGTTTTTCTGTGTGGAGACCTGAATGCCTATTCTTAGGTTCTGTCAATTTTTGAATTCTCTGGCTTTTTTTTTTTTTTTTTTGTATGTGTGTGTGACAAATCTCACTCTGTCACCCAGACTGGAGTGCTGTGGTGTGATTTCAGCTCACTGCAACCTCGGCCTCCCAGGCTCAAGCGATCTTCCCAACTCAGCCTCCTGAGCAGCTGGAGCTACAGGCACAAGCTGCCATGCCTGATTGATGCTGTTTTTTTTTTAAAAAAAATTTTGTACAGACGAGGTCTCACTGTGTTGCCCAAGCCGGGATTCTCTGGCCCTTAATGAATAATTGCTTTTTAAATCTTTCTCCAAGGAAACCTTGAGTGAGTGAATAATCAAATGGTGAGAGACCATTTAGTTTCTATTTTCTGTGGGATGTAGATCAGTGATCCTCAGCATGGGTGTGAGTAAGATGTCTGTGCTATTCACGTTCCCTGCCCCACTGTCAGTCTTCATGAGCCAGTATTTCTAATAAGACTGTCGACACATATGTGATCTCTAACCATATCAAATGTTAGATGTAAGTTTCAGCTTTTGAGGCATCAGTTGGTAAGATTTGAAGTTCAAAGACCATGACTCCAGTACTTTCTGAGTAATCCACTGAAGTATGTTTTACACATGTGTTTTCCAAATTGCTGACTGTTAATTATAAGTGCTTCTGGATTTAAAGGAAGCACTTTATGTTTACGGAATTAATTACCTTTAAATTCTACATGTCTACCCTCAAAGTTTATACGAGGTTTACTTGGCTATAAGACACAGGATCGCCCTTAGGGTTCTATTTGTAGTCCATTTTACAAAACCCAAATTGTGGTGTCCTTTGTGTGCCTTTAGGGTCATCTAAATAATCTGCTGCTAAGTCATGTTCCTAACTGTTATGTTTCTGTTACAGATGAAGGGCAATCACAACCTTAAAAGAAGACACGCTGAAATGATGCAGGATGCTCCTGTGTTGGAAATTTGACCATTAAAATTCTCCCAATAAAGCTTTACATCCTTCTGCAAAGAAGTCTTGTGCATCTTTTGTTAATTTTATTTCCAGGTATTCGATGCTCTGAAATGTGTATCATTCTTTGACATTTTATATGCTAGCTGTTTGAGCTGGTATGTAGAGGCATAATTCCTACATACTGAGTTTCTATCCAGCAACCTTGTTAAACATGCTTAGTAATTCTAAAAGTTTACTTATAGATCCTTTTCAGTTTTCAACATACAGATTCATATCATCTTTGAATAAGAACAGTTTTGTTTCTGCCACTTTTTTTTCTGTTTTCTTTTGTATTTTTTGTAAACATGTGATTTTGCCATGATGCCCAGTTTGTTCTTGAACTCCTGAGCTCAAGTGATCCACCCATCTCGGCCTCCCAAAGTGCTGAGATTGCAGGCATGAGCCACTGCGCCCGGCCTGTTGCTGCCATTTTAAACACTTTTATTTCTTTTCTGATTTTAGGGGCATTGGGCAGACCCACCTGGTATAATGGTGATAGTGGATATCCCTGTCTTATCCCTGATCAGAAGTGGAAAAATTTCAACATGATATTTGCTGTACTTTTTTTGTAGATTGACTTCAACAGTCAGTCATTCCATTCTGTTCTAGTTTGCTGAGAGTATTCATTTTGAATATATGTTGCGTTTCATCAAACACTGCATCTATTGTGATTATCACAGCATTTTTTTCGTTAATCTGTTAAAGTAGTGAATTAGATTGATAAATTTGTACTTTTTTGTTTTATATTTTTAAAAATTGAGAGAGGGTGTCACTCTGTCACCTAGGCTGGAGTGCTGTGGTGTTATCACAGCTCACTTCATCCTCGACCTTCTGGGCACAAGGGATCCTCCCACCTCAGCCTCCTGAATAGGCCTATAGGCACATGCCACCATGTCTGGCTAGTTTTTCTATTGTTTTGTAGAGATGAGATTTTGTCATGTTGCCCAGGCTGCTCTCGAACGTCTGAGCTCAGGCGATCTGCCCACCTCAGCCTCCTAAAGCACTAGGATTACAGGTGTGAGCCTTGGCCTGACCACGTTTTTCTTATATGAGGGGGTGGCCTGCCTCTCCACACCTGTGGGCATTTCTCGTCAGGGGAAACGAGAGACTTGAGAAAAGAAAGAGGCACAAAGTACAGAGCAAGAAAAGTGGACCTAGGGGACCAGCGCTTAGCATACGGAGCACTGGGTCCTTCAGTATTTATTGATCATTATCTTTACCATCTCGGAGAGGGAGATGTGGCAGCACAGTAGGGTAATAGTGGGGAGAGGGTCAGCAGGAAAGCATGTGAACAAAGATCTCTGTGTCATAAATAAGTTTAAGGAAAGGTGCTGAGCCTTGATGTGCATGTATACAAACATCTTCACAAACACTTCTGTGCATTAAAGAGCAGCATTGCCCCGAGCACGTCTCACCTCCAGCCCTAAGGCGGTTTTCTCCTATCTCAGTAAACAGAACATACAATCGGGTTTTACACTGAGACATTCCATTGCCCAGGGACAAGCAGGAGACAGATGCCTTCCTCTTATCTCAACTGCAAAGAGGCCTTCCTCTTTTACTAGTCCTCCTCAGCACAGACCCTTTACGGTGTCGGGCTGGGGGACGGTCAGGTCTTTCCCTTCCCACGAGGCCATATTTCAGATTATCACATGGGGAGAAACCTTGGACAATATCTGGCTTTCCTAGGCAGAGGTCCCTGTGGCCTTCCGCAGTGTTTGTGTCCCTGGGTACTTGAGATTAGAGAACCGTGATGACTTTTAACAAGCATACTGCCTTTAAGCACTTGTTTAACAAAGCACATCCTGCATAGCCCTAAATCCATTGAACCCTGAGTAAACACAGCACAAGTCTCTGCAAGCACAGGGTTGCGGGGTAGGGTTACAGATTAACAGCATCTCAAGGCAGAAAAATTTTTCTTAGTACAGAACAAAATGGAGTCTCTTATGTCTACTTCTTTCTACATAGACACAGTAACAGTCTGATCTCTTTTTCTTTTCCTCACACTTATATAGGGGTCTTGTCTATGTAAAGACTCAACTTGCCCGTACCTTTGTGTGAGTGGAATAACAGCATGACGAAATTTATCGTTCTATTGATTTAAAGAAAACTATCCTTGACTTTCTAGTATGTAAGTCCATCAAAGCATAACTATAATTATTTTGAAAGCATATATTGTTATGGGTATTGGGACCCCTGCACTTTCCGCTGCTGTGGGAGTATGTCCTTCTAGGTATCTTTAGTCTGTTTTCTCAATTGCAAACATCTTGGGACCGTGGGTTGTGACTAGCAAGGAATGTGCCTTGCTAATTTCAAGATGGAGTTGATTTTCAAGTGGGGTCACTCTGGCTGTCCTAGGTTCCCGTTTCCCTAACATTTTCACTTCTTCTGTGATTCTGATGCTACAAATGATAGATATTTTTAGTATTTTCTTACAGGTCCACGAGGTTGTATTCCTTTTTCTTTCACTTTTTTTCTCTGACTTGTTCATATTGAACAATTTCTTTTTGTTTTGTTTTAGACACAGGGTCTCACTCTGTTGCCCAGGCCGGAGAGCAGTGGTGAGATCATAGCTCACTGCAGCCTTGAACTCCTGGGCTCAAGGGATCCTCCTCCCTCAGCCTTCACAGTAGCTGACTACAGGCACGTGTCATCACACTCAGCTATTTTTAATTGTTTTTTGTAAAGATGAGGTCTCACTATGTTGCCCAGGCTGTTCTCAAACTGCTAGCCTCCAGCCCTCTGTCGTCTTACTTCAGCCTGCAAAAGTGCTAGGATTATTGGTGTAAGTCACTGCTCTTGGCCAAATAGAACAATTTCTTTTTATCTGTCTTTGTGTTCACTAACTCTTTGCTTGTCTCCATTCTGCTATTGAACCCATTCAGTGGGAATTTTTTCTTTGGTTATCATGTCTTCTATTTCTAAACCTTCCATTTGTTTCTTCTTTAAATATTCTTTTTTTTTGTGGCGGGACTTTCTGTTTTTTTCTTGTTGCAAAAGTGTGCATGATTGCTGTTTAAGCACCTTTATTCATAATTGCCAAAACTTGGCAGCAAACAAAGTGTCCTTCAGTAGGTGAATGGATTAGTAAACTGTCTACAGATAGTCAGTGGAATATTATTCAGCCGTAAAGTGAAATGGACTATCAAGCCATGAAAAGACATGGAAGAAACTTTAATTTCTATTACTAAGTGAAGGTAGTCAGTCTAAAAAGGCTACATACTGTATGATTCCAGCTATATGATATTATGGGTAGGGCAAAACTATGGAAACAATAAAAAGATCAGTGGTTGCCAGGGGTTATAGAGCAGGAAGGGATGAATAGGTGGAACATGGAGGATTTTTAGAGCAGTGAAACTACTCTGTATGATACTATGATGGTGGGTACATGTCATTATACCTTTGTCCAAACTTATTAAATGTACAACACCAAGAGTGAATCCTAATGTAAACTATAGACTGTGGGTGATAATTATATGTCATTGCAGGTTGAATTGTAACAAATGTACCACTCCTTTGGGGGATGTTGATAATGGGGAGAATTGTGCACGTGTTGGGCCCAGGAGTATACGGGATATCTCTATACCTTCCTCTCAATTTTGATGTGGTCCTAAAACTTCTCTTAGAAAAAGAGTCTGTTAATTTTTTAAAAAATTAATAAGTACTGAAAAAATTTAAATATTCATTCCTGGGCCAATTAAAAGATAGAGATTAACAGAATGGATAAAAAATAATCAAACCATATGCCATGTACAAGAAACTCATTTCACATATGACCACATATGTAGATAGAAACTAAAAGAATGGAAAAACAAATGTAATGCAAACATTAATTTTTTAAAAACTGGGAGTGGGCCAGGTGTGGTGGCTCACGCCTGTAATCCCAGCACTTTTTTAGGCTGAAGTGGGCGGATCACGAGGTCAGGAGTTTGAGACCTGCCTGGCCAATATGGTGAAACCCTGTCTCTACTAAAAATACAAAAATTAGCCGGGCATGGTGGCACACGCCTGTACTCCCAGCTACTCGGGAGGCTGAGGCAGAAGAATTGCTTGAACCCGGGAGGCAGAGGCTGCAGTGAGCCAAGATCGTGCCACTGCACTCCAGCCTGGGTGACAGAGTGAGACTCCATCCCAAAAAAAAAGAAAAAACTGGGAGTGACTGCATTAATATTCGGTAAAGTAGACCTCAGAGCAAAGTGAATTACTAGAAATGAAGAGGGACATTACATAATAAAAAGATCAATCCACCAAGAAGACATAATGATATCAACTGAGGCAGAAAAAAAAAAACACTTAGCAAACCATGAATACAGTGGAATTTCTTCAATTTGATACAGTTCATCTACAAAAATCTAAAAATCATACTTAATTGTGAAAGACTGAATGTTTTCCCCCAAGGCCAGGAAAAACCCAAGGATGTATGTATCTCACCACTGTTATTCAACATACTACTGGAAGTTCTAGCGGTGGAATAAGACAAAAAAAAAAAAAAGAAAGAAAGAAAGAAAATAAGAAATACAGATGGAAATGGAAGAAATTAAACTATCCCTGTTTGCAGATGGCTATATAGAAAATCTCAAAGAATATACCAAAAAAATCCCCTCTATAACTAACATGTGAGTTCAGCAAGGATGCAGGATACAAGATGATAAATACACAAAAATCAATTGCACTTCTATATATTAACAACAAACTTGTGGAAACTGGAAATTAAAAACATAATACCATTTACAATTGTGTTAAAGAAAATGAAATACTTAGGTATAAATCTAAAAGCATGTACAAGATGTGTATGCTGAAATTTGCAAGAGACTGATAAATCAAAGACCTAAGTAAATGGAGTGACATACCGTGTCTGTGGATTGGAAGACTCAAAATAGTGGAGATGTCAAATCTCCCCAAATAGATCTTTAAGTTTAATGCAATTCCTATCAAGTTTTTTGTAGACATAGACAAGCTTATTCTAAAATTCATATGGAAAGGCACAAGCCCTAGAATAGCTAAAACAATTTTGAAAAGAATAT